GGCAGGACTATGAATTTAATATTCCTGGCTACAAAGTGTTCAGCGAAGGTAGAAAAGGGCGGATAAAAAAAGAGGAACGGCAGTATTGGTTAAAGAGTGCATTGTTGTGCTGAAAGGAGAGGCTATCCCATACGGTTCAAGGATAGAGTTGACATGGGTAGAACTGAGGAACAAAACGGGCATAGTTACATTGCTCACTGCTAATTACTGGGAAGGATGTAGAGCAACAAATCTGCAAGGAAGCTGCAGAGAGATGCAGACATTATACAGTAGTTATAATGAGGAATTTTATCCAAATGTCGACTGGGATAGTTGTCATGAAAAGCGCAGCAAAAAGCAAGAATTCCTAAATTGTGTCTAGGCAAATTTTCTACAGCAGTGTGTCCAGTCCAACCCAAACAAGAGGTAATGCTAGAATTGATTCTTGGGAATAAGGTGGGCCGAGCAAAACAAGTGTCAGTGGAGGAGCATTTAGTGTCGTAAGGTTTAGGATGACTGTGGAATGGTCAAAGGAGACTTCCATGTGATAAGCAGAGTGTGGGATTGACTGGAATTGAATGTAGGTGGAAAATACTGTTGCCGAACATTGGCTACCTACAAAGAAACTAAAAGCATAATACTGTGGATGCTGGAGATCTGAAATAAAAACAGAAAATGCTGGAGAAAGCCAGCAGGTCTGACAGCGTCCATACAGAGAGAAACAAAGTTATGATTCAAGTCTGATGTGGCTCTTTGTTCTGAAATTCCAAAGAAATATCCAACTTGAAACCTTAACTTTGTTTCTCTCTCCACTGCCAGACCTATGAGTTTCTGTAGCACTTCATGTTTCCATTATTATCTTCAAAGAAGAGATGGTTTGGACATAGTTGAGTAGATTCCCTCAAAAGGGAAGGGTAGGGCTAATAAACTCAGAATGCCCTGAATGAAAAAGGAAGAACAAGGAAGAACAAAGATCAATACAGCACAGGAACAGGTCCTTCGGCACTCCAAGCCTGTGCCGACACATTTTGCTCTTTCATACTAAAACTTCAGTGATCTATGGACCTGCACACCCAGATATCTCTGCATATCAATACTCCTAGGGGTCTGCCATTCACTGTATAATTTCCACCTGTACTTGACCTTCCAAAATGCAGCACCTCACCTCCAGATTAAACTCCATCTGCCATTTTTATGCCAATGCTTCCAACTGATCTATATCCTGCTGTATCCTCTGACAATCCTCCTCGCTTTCCGCAACTCCACCAAACTTTGTATCGTCCGCAAATTACTAATTAGACCAGCTATATTTTCTTCCAAATAATTTATGTAGATCACGAACAGCAGAGGTCCCAGCACTGATCCCTGTGGAACATCATTAGTCACAACCTCCATTCTGAAAAGGATCCTTCCACCGCTACCCTCTGTCTCCTATGACTGAGCCAGTTCTGTATCCATCTTGCTAGCTCACCCCAATACCATGTGACTTCACCTTTTGTACCAGTCTGCCACAAGGGACCTAATCGAAGGCTTTAGTGAAGTCCACGTAAACAACATCAACCGCTTTTCCCTCATCAATCATCTTCGTCATCTCCTCAAAAATCTCGATCAAGTTAATGAAGCACGACTTGCCCCACACAAAACCATGCTGTCTATCGCTAATAAATCCTTTGCTTCTAAATGATCTTGTCCCTGAGAATCTTTTCCAATAATTTCCCTGCTACTGACATGAGGCTCACAGGCCTGTCATTTCCTGGATTATCCCTGCTACCTTTCTTAAACAATGGGTCAATATTGGCTATTCTCCTGTCTTCTGGGACCTTACCTGTAGCCAAAGAGGATACAAAGATGTTTGTCAATGCTCCAGCAATTTGGTCTCTTGCCTCCCTCATTATCTGGGATAGATCCTATTAGAACCCAGGGACTTATCTACCTCAATACTTTTTAAGACTCACAACACCTCTTTCTTTTTAATAATAACTTGGCTTAGAAATTCAACACTCCGTTCTCTGGGATCATCCTCCACCAAGTCACTCTCTTTGGTGAATGCTGACACAAAATATTTGTTTAGGACCTCACCTACCTCTTCTGGCTCCACACACAGATTCCTTCCTTTGTCCTTGAGTAGGCCAACCCTTTCTCTGGATACCCTCTTGCTTTTTATATATGTATAAAAAGCCTTGGGATTCCCCTCAATCCTGTCTGCTAATGACTTTTCATGACCCCTTTTAGTCCTTCTAATTCCTTGTTTAAGTTCTTTCCTACTTTCCTTATATACTTCAAGGGCTTCATCAGTTCCCATCCTTCTAGACCTTATGTATGCTACCTTTTTCTTTTTGACCAAGGTCATAACATCCCTGGTCATCCAAGGATAATGTAACCTGCCATACCTATCCTTCATTCTCGCAGGAACGTGCCACTCCTGAACTCTTATTAACTTCCATTTGAAATACTCCCACATGTCCGATGTGGATTTACCCTCAAACAGCTGCCTCCAAACAACATTCTCTAGTTCCTGCCTAATGTTGTTGTAATTCCCCTTTCCCCAGTTTAACACCTTTACCCAAGGACTGCTGTTATCCCTATCCATGAGCATCTTAAAACTCACGGTATTATGGTCACTACTCCCGAAATGCTCCTCCACTGAAGCTTTACTCACCTACTCGGGCTCATTTCCCAAAATCAGGTCCAGTATAACCCCTTCCCTGTTTGGACTGTTTACATACTGTGTTAAGAAACGTTCCTGAATGGTCCTTACAAATTCTGTCCCATCCTTGCCCCGAGCACGAAGTGAGTCCCAGTCAATATAGGGGAAGTTAAAATTACCCTCCAGTACAACCCTGCTGTTTTTACATCTTTCCAAAATCTGTCTACATGTTCTCTCCTCCATCTCCTGCTGGCTGTTGGGAGGCCCGTAGTTTACCTCTAGCATTGTGATTTCTCCTTTCCTATTCTTGAGTTCTACCCATATTGCCTCGCTACACAAGTCATAGAGTCATACAGTAGTACAGCACGGGAACAGACTCTTCTGCCCAAACTGGTCCATGCTGACCCATAGTGACCACTCAGCTAGTTCCAATTGCATGCATTAGAGTCCTCTGATGTATCCTCCCTCAGTATAGCTGTGAGATACTCCCTTACCAGTAATACAACTTCCCCATCCCTTTTACATCCCCTTCTATCATGCCTGAAATATCTAAATCCTGGGACATTCAGCTGCCAGTCCTGTCCCTCTTTCAGCCAGGAGATAAAAATTAAGATAAAGAAGGAGAAATATACTATGCCAAGTGTAAGGTAAAAAACACAATTGAGTAATAAACTGAATACTGAAGATTTAGAAGGAAGGTGAGAAACAAATAGGATTTGCAAAGAGGGAATATGAGAAAAGATTAATAGCTAACAAAAAGGGGAATCCCGAAGTCTTCTGCAGGCACATGAACAGTAAAAGGAGAAGTAGGGCCAATTCGGTACCAAAAAAGGGATTTACAACTGGAGGCTGGTGACCTGGCTTAGATATTAAATGAACACTTTGCATCTGTTCTTATTCAGAAAGGAGATGTAACCTGACCAGTCCAAGGTGGCAGAAACTCTGTCCCTAGAATGGTTTAAAATAGATAAAGAGGAGTTTTTGGATGGATTGTCAGTACTTAAAATTGATAAGGTACTGGGACCAGATGAGATGCATCCAAGAGTATAGAAGGAAGCAAAACTGTAAAGTTCAATGGCACTGGCAATAATCTATCAATCTTTGCTAACCTCCAGGGTGGTGCCAGAGGATTGGATTATTCCAAATGTGACATCCTTGATCAATAAAAGGTTGTAGGATAATCCTAGCAACTATTAACTAGGCAATGTAATTTCAAATATCAGGGAATAGTTATACTAGATAGCATAAATAATGACATGGAAAAATGTGGGTTAATTAATAGGAGCGTTGATATGGTGGACATGGGCTTCCACAACACATTCAATATAGTGTCACCGACACTGGACATTCAATACAGTGTCATCAGGTTATAGCTGATGCAATAAATGGGACAGTAGTAAAATTACTACAAAATTCGCTGAGGGATAGGAAACAAAGAGTAATGGTTAATTGCCCACTGAATTTACAACAGATAACTGGGAAAATCTCTGAGGAACTCAGGTCAAAAACTCTCAATTTATGTTGGAATATAGTTGTAAAAACCTGATCACTGTCTACATTCTCAATCAGCTGGATATTCTTTATGTACGAGTCTAGAGGCAAACTATTTGACTATGGGGGCTTTCACATTTCCTTCCCAACATTCATAAATGCATATATTCCAGAAACTTTCACAGAATGGAAGCAAGAGCTGAAAGTCTGTTTGTTTTATCCCTTCAATACTTTAAAAGTACTGAGGCCACTGATTATGCCCTGGCTGCTCACATGCATGTGATTTGCAAAATCGGTGCAGATCAGAAATCATTCCTGTCACTCAGCTTAGTTTGACACTAGACTGTTCATTTGAATGAATTTCAACGAATGTTGAGGCATTAACAGATGGCTGCTCTTCAGTCATTTCTGGTGTATTACCTAGAGATTTAGAATAATTGGCAAAAGAACCAGAGAAAGATGAGAATTTGTTTGATCAACAAATTGATAGGATGGAGAATGTGCTGCCTGAAAGCAGATTTAATAATAACTTCCAAAAGGGAAATGCTTTAAAAGTAAAAAAAAAACACGCAGGGCTATTGGGATTGAGCTGGGCTAATTAAATAACGTTTTCAAAGCGGCACCATAGATAAGACAAACTGAGCGCACTCCTTTTGTTCTGTGTGATTTCACTGAAAAGTACTGTAGAGGGGAAGGGAATGACAAGTCTGGCTTTATAAACTCAGTGGCTCCAAGATTAGAATAGGTTCAGTCTGTCTTACCATCAAATTCTTTAAATAACTCAAGACTCTTTTGAAGGATTGTAATATAAGTCTTAATTTTCTTATTTACATTGATATTGTTGTGTAGTTTGCAGTCACAAGAGCTTTTGATTAAACTTTACCTGGATAAGAGGAAAAAGAAGTCCGACAAAAAAGTTAGAAATCCAGAGCACTGTGCCACCAACCATGAATGCAGCAGATCGACTGGACTGATCAAACATCTCACCAGTGAGGATGAAAGGAATCCCTCCTGAAACAAACAGAGTGCACCAATCAGCACTTAAAACAAAATGTTTTATAATGCATGGTACAGCATCATGGTTGTGAGGAACCCCTGAGGAACCTCTGTTCTGAGGAAGGGTCACCGGACCCGAAATGTTAACTCTGTTTCTTCCTTCACAGATGCCGCCAGATCTGCTGGGCTTTTCCAGCAACTTTGTTTTTGTTCCTGGTTGTGCTGATGCACCAACCCAAGAGAACCTGAGAAAAGACACAAGTTCAGTTCAAGGAGAATCATAACTTTAATTGGTACTTTAAAAGCACATTGTAATAGTAATATACAACTTTCCTTGTCCTCTCTTACCAAACATCTCTGTACATGGTTTATTGTAATCTATTCCGAAGATTTGAAAATAAGTCCAATAATTTGTCCCATGACAGAGCTGCTGTTAAACTTCCAAATGCAGAAAGAAAGAAATCACAAAAAGGCCCTAAGCTTTAATGGTTGTGTCGGAATCTCACCCTTCACCAAGCTTTGTACTCTTGGACTGATAATTGCTTGGGTAAAGGTAAAGTTGCCACGGTCCTACAAGACATTAGGGCTGCTGTCTCATTACAGAAGGCTGACTGGCGGTGGTTTAACCTGAGGGTCAACACACCTCAGGCGAGGGGAGAGGATGAGAAAGACAGTCCTTCATGATGAGAGAATTACTGAGAATCAGACAGTGCAGAGGTTGAACCCACATTGTTGGCACCACTCCACATCACAAACCAGCTGGTCCAGCCAACTGGGAGCGAACTGACACAACCCTCATGTGAGACCAGTGGGCAGAACAGACCCTTGTGTAACTTATTTGGCACCTATTTGGCCGTGCTTCAGGAGACTAGGTTGTTTACCTGTGTGAGAAACATTCCCTCTCTCCAACTTGCCTCTGAGTGAGGAAACTAATCCAGCAAGACATTTGTTTTAATGTTGTCTTCTGGATTTTGAACCTCCTGCTCTTAGTGGGGATCACACACACCCTGGAAATAGTAATACCTCTTTGTTTTAATGGTACTGCTGGCACTAAATGTGCGAGGTCTGACTACGGCTTGACAGTGAGTGGTCCTGGCTTAGGATATTCTCATTGTTCCTGCCTCAGACCTGTCACTTTCCCTATATGGGGCAGAAAGGAGCAGAAATTGACAGAAATATGGAAACGGCCCCCTTGTGGCTTTCACCTGCCAAGGGCTAAAGGCAGCCCTTTAGAACTCTCAAAGTTCAAAGCTATAGTCTATATTCACCATTACAAGGAGACCATGAAGACGCCACGTAAGGACAGTGATACTAATCTGGATACCACACAGAATATAACAAGGATAGCATTATGTTGTTCTAACTCTATTGTTTGTTTTTATAATTATTCAACTATCACCCCTTTTTTGACTTGAAACATGGGCTGAAATCTTACAGTTTTTGAAAACATTCTTCCTCCCAGATAAATGTGGTCAATGAGCTTGGTTTACTCTCAGGATCATCTTGGAGACTGCCAGTTAAGAAGCTGCCTCTGGAGTAAAGTGAAACTTTCTCACAGGAATCACAATTGCAGCCATTCCCAACCATGGCCCCTTCATTGGGACATGCTCCAATGCTCTCTGGTCTGCTATTGGGCTCAGCACTCAGCAGGATGCTGCTTTGCTGCTGGCCAGATTATGGTGAGGTCCACCCAGCTCCCCCTAAATTCCCCTCATGAATGATTTAATCCTGCAGCTGTCAGCTAGGCAGTCAATTTCATTGCACATCCGTCTCATTGGATCAGAGATGGGAATATATCTGGCTGTCCACCTGATGTGGACATTTCCTGTTTCTCCTGCGATCCTGACTCCAAACCCTGCAGCTTTAGTCATATCTGATTCTGCAAAATAACTCCACAATTAGTGCCTGACCTGCTGCGTATTTCAGTTTATCTTCCAGATTTCCAGTATTGTGCACAGCATTTTGTCTGTAACCTGTCCCATTTTTCTTTCATATACAAAGTACAGTTCTCATGATCCAATGCATTCCCAAAATAAAATTTAGTTGAATTTCCGGCTTCTTTAATAAAAAAGTGAAATATTGGCAACACAGAACAGTTATAAATTTGACATATCCACACAATGCACTGAACTATTTTTAACCAGGTCATGTTTTAGGAAAAAGGGTATCCACGGCAGTCATCAAGTTATTTAATTATACACATTGCAATTAAACAAAATATAACATGCATTATACTCCAGCTGTAAAACACATTTGACCATCTCATTACAAAGGAATTAAAAACATTGCAAAATATAAATATATATGCATAAATATTTGACGTACATATGTAAAATGTTCAATAATATTGTAATAATTAGTAATTTACCTCAAATTGGGCATTGGTTAGGTGAGCGAAGATTACCTGCTCCGTCAAGACTTTTCCACCATAATGGTTGATGTATCATGGCTAAACACATCTTCACACCCCTCCCCTTCAGCCATGTGATCACCCAGAAGATTCAATAAAACAGATAATATCGGCAATATCTCATTTCACTTTTGGCACAACTACGTAACATCAGCAACCAGACTGACTTGCATTTATAATGTATTTAAAACAGTATAATGTCTCATGGTACTTCATAGTATCTGACAAAGTTTACCTTGAGCCATAGAAGGAAACGTTAGGGCAGGTAAGATGTAGCTTTTTAGGGGCAACTTGAACGAAAGGAGGGAGAGAGGCCCCAAATGGCCTCACTCGATGCCATAATGATTTGATACAGAAGCTCACATTTCACATTCAAGTCCTCAAGTGAAATATGCATCCTGAATACCTTCTAATCTTGAAGCTTTCTACTGGTTTAGAAACATTGAGAGAATGCCAGAAAATTGAATTTAGTGAAGTTATACTCCAGTTATACTATGTACTGGCCTTTAAATAAGCTAAATCATTACTCCATTACAAACAATTATACTTTGTAAGTACACCTAATAACACCTAGTTTGAAGGAATTTGAAGCCGACACGACCAATATTAGCTACCTAAAAATGTAAAAACGTTTTGTCTCGGAAATCTCACTTCAAAATTAGGGAATGACTACCAGTGTTTTGGGCTGCTGATTACACTTTCTCATTGATGCAAATTATTTTGATGGATATATGGCATGAAATGGTGAGGCAATTCAAATCTCAGGCTAGTGATTTGACTCCGAGTACGATGAAGGAAGCGTATACAAGGCCTTCTCAAGAAAGTCATTTCATGCTGCATGGATATAGGCTGGGTGCTGTTTAACTCCATCCCAGCCCTACTGGGCTTCTTAGGGACTTTTGAAGACACCGCAAGTAAGCTTATAATGTTATAAACGTCAGTCTAGTGACACCTAACTGCACCTGAACCATTTGATGTTGGGAAGGTGTGATGCCTGTGATATTGTGCGATTTTTATTTGCTGGCTTTTATTATAGAACATAGAACATAGAACAGTACAGCACAGTACAGACCCTTTGGCCCACGATGTTGTGCCGAACTTCTACCCTAATCCTGAGGTCTATCTAACCTCCACCCCTACCTTATATGATCATCCATATGCCTATCCAATAGCTACTTAAATGCCCCTAATGAGACCGACTCCACTACCCTCTCCGGCAACGCATTCCACGCCCCAACCACTCTCTGAGTAAAGAACCTACCTCTGATATCTCCCCTATATCTACCTCCACTCACTTTAAAACTATGCCGCCTCGTAATAGCTACCTCCAGCCGAGGAAAAAGTCTCTGGCTGTCTACTCTATCTATTCCTCTGATCATTTTGTACACCTCTGTCAAGTCACCTCTCAACCTTCGTCGTTCTAAAGAGAAAAGCCCTAGCTCTCTCAACCTTTCCTCATAAGACCTTCCCTCCATTCCAGGCAACATCCTGGTAAATCTCCCCTGCACCTTTTCCAATGCTTCCACATCTTTCCTCTAATGAGGTGACCAGAACTGGACACAATACTCCAGATGTGGCCGAACCAGGCTTTTGTATAGCTGGAGCATAACTTCACACTCTTGAACTCAATCCCTCTATTAATGAAAGCTAACACACCATATGCCTTCTTAACAACTCTATCCACCTGGGTGGCAGCTTTCAGGGAACTGTGGACATGAACCCCGAGATGCCTCTGCTCCTCCACACTGCCAAGAATCTTTCTGTTAACCCTGTATTCTGCTTTCAAATTTGTCCTTCCAAAATGAATCACCTCACACTTTTCAGGGTTAAACTCCATTTGCCACTTCTAAGCCCAGCTCTGCATGCTATCAATGTCCCTTTGTAACCTAGAACAGGCCTCCGCACTGTCCACAACACGATCCACCTTCGTATCGTCCGCGAACTTACTAATCCACCCTTCTGCTCCTACATCCAAGTCATTTACAAAAATCACAAATAGAGGAGGACCCAGAACAGATCCTTGCGGTACACCACTCGTAACTGAGCACCACGTTGAATATTTTCCGTCCACTACCACCCTTTGTCTTCTAAGGGTCAGCCAATTCTGAATCCAATCTGCCACATTTCCCCCTATCCCATGCCTCCTTACCTTCTGCATGACCTTACCATGGGGAACCTTATCAAACACCTTACTTAAATCCATGTATACCACATCCACTGCTCTACCTTCATCCATGTGTTTGGTCACCTCTTCAAAGAATTCAGTAAGGTTTGTGAGGCATGATCTACCCCTCACAAATCCATGCTGACTATCACGAATCAAACTGTGCCTTTCCAAGTGATCACAAATCCTATCTCTCAGAGCCCTTTCAAACAATTTGCCCACCACTGGCGTAAGACTAACTGGCCTGTAATTTCCGGGGTTATCCCTATTCCCTTTTTTCAACAAGGGAATGACGTTTGCCTCTCTCCAATCTTCCGGTGGACAGTGAGGATGAAAAGATCGTCGCCAAAGGCCCTGTGATCTCTTCCCTCGCTTCCCATAGAATCCTTGGATAAATCCCATCAGGCCCAGGGGATTTATCTATCTTCAACTTGCTCAAAA